CACACACACACACACACACACACACACACACACACACACACACACACACACACACACACACACGTTCCCCGTCTCCACAACAGCCTCCAAGACAGCGGCCTCGTTTGTTGTTGAATGACATGATCACCGTGCCCCCTGCAGGGGTTAGAGATTTGCTCCGACGACATGCTCGCAACCGTACGGAACGACATCGTCGTTTTCAGTATACACTAGCGAGGAATGGTGCACATCGAGTCCGATGCCCGCAATGTGGCGATGATTTCTTCAGTGCTGCAGGCTTACGAGTCCACCAGACACGAGGTGCAGCTACTTGTGCAGCGTTTGCACGACTAGCAGCCGCCCTGAGCACAAGTGAGGCTGATCAGCTTCCGACTCCCAGATCTGGTCCACCCAGTTCTCACCCACCTGACCCGTCGCTCTCTCATCCACCTAGCCCCACTCGCTCCCCTGCCCCAAATGACAATGGCCCGTCTCCTGATTACCTGACGGAGTCCCTGGTTGAAGATCATCTCTCTCCGGAGCACATACCGGAGCCAATTGGTCAAGACCACAACGAGTCTCCGCCACCTGGGCAACCTGCAGAATCGAACGAGGATCCCGCTGCCATAAACGGATCCCCCGCGCAACCTGAGGAATCAGACAATGTCATAGCGCTGCAGCGAGGGCGCTGTGCGTGCCATGCCATTAATGTATGTCTCTTTGCTTGCAATTGTAATCCTTATACTGTTGCTGATTTCGCAGACGTCGTTCGCTGGATAGAAGAAGAGCACCGTGCTGTCGGCCCAGACGACGACAGTGCTGCGCCTGGGGTGAACATAGATCTTATATCGTAGGCGACTGCAATTCCAGCCTGCTCCGCAAAACCACGAGCCAGGCACGGATCCGAATATTCGGGCATATATCTTATATCGTCCAGGTCACTTCGGTGCTCTTAGCTTTGCAGAGAATTCATGGACCCTATGGGACAATGGCGGTAGGGTGCACACAGTGGGAAATATTAACTCTTTCTGGGCAGGGGCCCAGTGCAGCCAGGCCGCACACAGCAGGCTGGCCACTTCCATTTAGAAAAGTGCCTGCCCTCGCATTTGGCGTTCGGGCACTTGCTACATGCTGCGCAAGCGCTGCTGCGCTACTGGCAGGCAAGCGCCCACACGCTCACGGGCGAGCAAGGGATACGCAGGCAGCTATAGCCGAGCTGGCCGGCGAGGTGCTGGATGGGGCGCATGGTGGTCCTTGGGTGCGCGTGGCATCTGTGTGGGGGATCGAGCTTGTGAGCGATGCGAGAGACATACCTGGTGCTTGAGGCGAACGGCATTGGCCGAGATCTGCTCGTACTTCGGGGAGCTGTTGACGTCACCAGCGCCATTGTAGATAGGCTAGATAGGGTCTGCCATTTGTAGTCTGGGCGCAGGGCGCCAGATAGGAAATCGACATTGCTTTTCGTTCGAGGTCACGACGATCTGGTTTCATGTGTATGAGGCTGCTTGGTTTCTGGAATTCGCATTTTCCTTGCAATGGCTTTTTTCTGTTTTGTTTTTTTATTTTCACGCCCATTTGGAAATCCTTAACCACGTCGACCTTGGCCCCGACATATTTGGCGGCAATGAGCGCCTTCTGCGTGTTCTTGTTATTTGGATATGCAGATCTCGAGAGCCATGGCTGCTTGCTCGCTGTCTGCGTGTGCACACTCCCAAAGCTTTTTTCTGTTCTGTTTTTTTAACTTGGAGCATTTCTTTATTTACGAGTGTCATCCTTGCGCAGGGGCAATTTGGTAATTCACCCTTCTCTGTATCGTTCAAATTCTGATGGATGTAACCAAAGCACTTTTCAATTGCTAATTTTTTATTATTAGTCATCTAATATTTATGATATTGTTGGGGTAGTTGGGAAAAGCAGATGCTGATTCTACCAGTGATGTGGATTTCTGTTTGCTACGTTATGAATAGGGACGCGATCTCCTCCAGGCAGCCCATTCGTACTACTTGGATGATGATCGCTATCAAAAGGTGTACTTGTTCAACAAGAAGAGCAGAGAATTTGACTTCAAAGATGTGCTCAAAGATTTGAACATGCCACTTCCTCCATGACGTCATCGTCATCGTCATCGTCGTCGTCGTAATTTGACTTCAAAGAAACAAAGGATCTTGGTCTCCACACGCGGCAAGTGCCCTATCTTTGTTTCTTTGCCTCTCATCCCCAGTCAGCCCCCTCCCCACTTCCCCGCTCTCTCTCTCTCTCTCTCTCTCTCTCTCTCTCT